ACAATCGTATATGTAAATGAACGCGGTTTTTTTTGGAGACGACCGCTCGGGCAATACTTTTACTTTTAGTGAACTGGAAATTTGCATTTCAAAAAGGCAGGGAAATTTGATGGAGTACCTCAAAGTTTGATGCAAAAACGCATGATCGCACCAGCTCGCCTGGTGCGTTCCAGCCTGGGTTGATCTCCAAGCATCTTTTGAGCCAAAAGTGATAGTGAGCAACTTTTATCCTGACTTTTCAATTGATTTTTTTTCAGTGATGTTGTTGATGTTTCTAATGTATTAACACAGCGCGTTGTGGAAGTCGAATCTTTTTTGTTTGTCTTAGTCGAGGTGGTGGTACCTTTTTGGTTCCTCATCTTGCATTACATTTAGTGCAAATAGACAAGACATACCAATTTTGACGAGCAGTGTGTTACGCTACTTTTTCTACTGAAGACAATTTTCAAAAATGACATCTTTTACGGCGTCCTATAGCGAATATGATGCTGTTTAATTCATTTTTTTGCAATGAAGTTTAGAACACAATAAAATAGTCCAAGACAAGCTTGAAAATCCACAAGCTGCCGTTAGCTCCAAATAGCAGTTGACTTATCCTTTTGAAAATGAGGTGAGAGCTCCAGTTTTTTGAAATCATATCTTTTAGCAACCTATTGCTATGATCACTCAAAATCATCTCGTAACAATTTTAACTTCCACTGCCTTCCGTGCGGCCCTGATCGGCTTTTTCCAGGATTCAGTACTTGTCGAGTGCAAGAGCAGTCTGCTAGTTCTTGAAGTTAACGAATAAAACAACACTGTGGTAACTGAAGATAGTACACGCACCTTGGGATGTTTTCCCAGATGGGTGCTACTTCCGTGTCTGTGTCATCTGCGTAAATGTTGTCCTATCATTATTCGCAGATTTTAAGTCGGTACCTCTTTCGTCCACTGTTTGACCCATTTCAGGGATAATTATGCATCAGTGAGGCAGGATGGCAGCTGCTAGCCAGTGGAAGCGTATTCTCAGGAAGAAACCTGCGGAATAAAGAAATATGAAGTTTTTAGTATGTGAAAACTGCGTACAGCTATGATTTGGCGACTGCTCACTGTGATTTTGGACGCAGCAGCCAAATGTTGGTGGCGTAAAGATCAGTTAGTCAAAGTACCACAGTATTTCGCAACGTCACACGAACAGACATTAGCGCAAGTCGCGTCAGTGGGAAGAACGGTTTTTTGGTACAGTAAGTAGCCGTAATTTATTCGAAACAAATTCCATTCCAAGCTCCAATAAAGCACTGCAGTTTCTCAGGGTTTGTTCTTTCACTGAGACATAAATGCCAAAGCCGCAACCACAAAATAATTCCTCTCTGCTCTTTCCTTCTTGCTTCTTGAAAAGCCTGTGTACTGAGGGAAATTTTTTTGTTATCCAACATCTGGACATTTCATCCGTAAAAAGTATGAAAAAAAAAATTCTGCTGCTGATGACCATGAATGTGATTTGAGGGAGTTTGCTCAGGTGATCTCATTTGTTTACATTTTTAACTGCTATTTCATTCGAATTTTTTGCTATAACAAATATTAAAACGAAAAAGCACTTTTTCTTCGCAATAAGCGTGTTTTTCAGAAAAATCACGCATTTGGCGAACGATAGAATTTTTTGGGCAAAATTATTAAGTCGCTTGCTGGCACTTCGTTAACTATCTGTTTCTCAAAATCTCTCGAAAAGAAAAATAAACGCATGAAAACGTTCATGAAGCAAATGATATCAGAAAAGGAACAAATACGCTTATGGATGAAGAATTTTTTGCTCCGGACTGTTGTAAAATTGAGGCATACATTGAAGCAAATAATAGACATATATAAAAAAGATTTTCAAACTATGAACTGTAAGAAGCTGAAGTTATACTGTTTTAAAACCAGCAGCTATGCACACCAAGGTTTCTGGTTCGACCGGTGTTGCACGAATCTTGGAATCTTGTAATAGCACTTGTAAAGTTTCGTCTTCCTATCTTGATTGGTTCTCATAAATCATCTTCCTGGCAAGACTTTTACTGTTTCTCTTTGAGGTTTTCGTATATGAGGGTTAGGCAAACGCAAGGGACGATTTTAAAACGGGAGGGTTGCACATGAGGCGGGAACATGCTCCAAACATTTGAGCTTCCTGGCTTCTCCGATTACTGAGCTGAAAGCGGGTGGCAAGTGTAGCCGATCCCGAACATGCAAACACAGATAACATCTCCACAGTTTGGACTCTTCCACTGCATCAATCACCTGGAAATGCTTAAGATGGATTATTATTAATTTGATTATTATTATTATTATTATTATTACTATTATTATTATTATTATTATTATTATTATTATTTCGACCAAAGTTTCAGCTTGCGCTGATTCCCAGCAAAGAAATGTGCGAAATTCAAGAAAAATGGAAAATGCGGAAAAGACCTTCCTTGTAGCTGCTTGTTTGGACTGCAAAAGCACGCGCAGTTTGTGCGGCTTGGTTCATGGTGTTTTCAGCGTTGATGATAGCGGTGATGATTGGTGGGGGCAACCAAAATATCCTTTTACGTCTTCCACGACAGACTGTAACAATAAATGCTTTGAAAGTAATAGAAGTTGCATGCGCAAGTTTACCGATGAAAACATGTCGGTGTAGTCTTTAATTTCCCTTATAATGCACTGTTCGTGGTAGTTGCAGTCAGCCTTTTCTTCTGCTCTGAAAGGAAATGATGCCAGACCTTGGAAACAAAGCGCTGTTATCCAGCAGATTTTTAGACTCGCGAAAAAACCTGTCCATGAAGGAATTAGTAAAGTGCGTTATTAAAATGGCAAACCAAAGCTCTGTCTCCTTTTGCATCAGTTCCAATTCATTCGGCTCTGTTAATGTGGCAGGTAATTTTTTGTCCCAGTAATTGGCCTAATGGTTAAACTGTAAGTACGTTCCCATGTTCCCCGTTGAACTGTTACTAGAGCCAAAGACGCTCGCGCGATCAGGTTAGGGGTTATGTGAAAGGTGGTCTACTTCGCGGCATGTTTGAATCTATTAGACAGGAGATGATCCACACAAAATTTAATTTTTTGCATTGAAACGCATGATATATTTATGTTTGAAATTATGTGTCTGTACTCTATGGCTAATGAATAAATGATCCGGGCTGCAAAGTAACAGGTTTAATGACTCGGCCGTACTTTTTTGCCCTAATTTTGAAGTAATCAGGTCGTTCATAACGCTAGTGGATTCCTGCATTGCAGTTTGACATGTGGGCACATGTAGTTCGGGTGATTTCAGTACAGTGAAGGAGACGTTCTGAAACTTCTTGTAAAGCTGAACACACAAAAATATGCACTTTAAATAAACCAATTTTCTGATCTTCGGATCTTCGTACTAGACTCCACGCTTTTTCTGTGCTTTTTTGCGCTGCAACGCTAGAGCGTTGCAAAATGCAGCAAAAACGCAAGTTGTGCTCATAAGAAAGGCGTCCCCCTTTCCCGCTTTCTCACTTTCAAGCAACGGATACTTATGCTCCTTCAGTGGCGTGGACCACGAATTGGTGCGTGCATGGGACGCAACTATTACTGGGTTGCTCAAGCTGTGAGTGCGCTCCATAGGGATTACGTAGTCACAACGATTGGCAAGGCTCCCAACAACTACATCATTGTGTGCAAGAAATTTTATTGCGATGCTACACTGCACTCAGTTAGGCTTGACGGGCAAAGGGGAAGTTCTAGATAATAAAGTATATACTCCTGTGACTGTGAGTCTCCACCAGACGCTTCACGTGCATGCTGGTATTTGCAGCCGCTTCCGAATAACCTCCACTGCAATCTGTGATTGCATACCTACAATTCGTGCAATTCCGAAGCTGCACAAGAATCCTTATGGTTATGTGTTCATAGCTGCAGCTAATAAGTCCTCACTTCGAGGGTTAGTTATTATGTTATGTCGAATCCTTGCGCATCTCAGGACCTTCCAAAACTGCTGCAATAAGATAGCCCAACGTACAGGTGATAGATTATACTTTAGCGTGCCAAATACAGAGATTGCATTCTTTCGCTTCCGCCATTGGTCACCTCTACTCTGCGGATTTTAACAATCTCTTTACAAACTTGCTACATATGGAGATTGCCAACAATTTGAATTATCTGTTGGACCTATGTTTCTCAAACGCGTGTAAAGAATATGTGGCTGTTAGGTTCAAATCGGTATGGTTCACTAATGAAATACGTACTGATAATGGCCTGTTACAGTAAAAACGAAGTCAAAGAGATCCTACATATCATTCTTTCCGAAACCTACATCAGGTTTGGTGGATGTCTGTTCAAACACATACAAGGTGTCCCCATGGGCGGAAATGCTAGCCCCGACGTCGCGGATCTGACGCTATCTCTGATGGAATTCCGTTATATTCGTAGACGTCCCAACACTGGGCTCTGTTTCTTCCGCTACAATGACGATATTCTGGCTACCAATTGCCCGGATTTCCCTGACCGCGCCACAGAGATTTACGAAACTGCGCTTACACTAAATGCTACTTATTTCAGACGGTGCGACCGTTTTCTTGACCTGGCAATCAGCCTGACGGACGTTGAAAGTTTGATGTTTACAACAAAACTCTGGATCATCCCTTCCCCGTCAGCCAAGCTAGCGACCCTGATAGTGATGCTGACTCCACTATACATGATGGAATAATTATGTCCCACATGCTCCGGTATGCCAGAATTTGCACTACAATCTACAGATTCACGTGGCGGGCCAGACGACTCAGTAAAACATATGAATGTCGATGATATGATACTAATAAAATACAGAGAGTCCTTTTAAAATTCAGTTTCCGGAATCGTGCCGTTATAAGCAAACTCAATGACATGGATAACAAGGGAGTCAGAAATCTCTGCCAATCCATAATGAACCTAATAAACCAATAGTGACACAACCGCTGAAATCCAGACTGTACTGACAGAACAGACGTGCGCTTAAATTGATGAGATTGATAGTTAGCTAAAATGGTATTTTCTGGTGAACCACCGGCGAAAAAAACGAAAACAGGGGCATATCTGCTGCATGTTAGTTTTACTTTTGTTTCTACTGCTGCAACATTTATTTTCTTTATTGTCACCTCTGCTTCCTTCTATTCGTTTAACCATAGCGGGATGGGGCACTGTACTAATGATTCCCACCCCATTCCGCGTCGGCTCTGTCGTCTGTGTTTGCAGTTTAGGGATGAAACACAGACAGGACAACAGCTAATGCACATACAGGCTCGCTTATCGGGGTGTCTGATTCAGCACCTCCTGCTTTTCCCACAACTGTCAATATTCTACTGTGTCCCTTTCATCGGTGGGCTGATAGTGCCAAACAAACTATGAATGTTAACAAATAAAAGACTCCAGGCTCCTAATTCTTCCAGTCCGCGAGCCAGTGATATAATGTGCATCCTAAAAATTTCTAAAGCATTTTGCATGCTTGTGTGCGCGTATTCGTCTGTCTGGATGCTTCTACTCTGCAACCGGGCTAGCTTCGATGCTGAAATTTTGTCTACATCAAGTGCTGCTCCATGAAAGTGATATCAACTTTCTCACTTACGGGCGCAAAAAGTTTTGAAGTTCCCTTACTAACAAGGCTAAAAGGCCGAAATTTTGTAGGGATATTCTTTGGCTACGCAGGACCAAAAATTTCAAATTCAGCTTCTACTATGCCTGCATTGCACTCACGTGCACATGAAAATTTTTGCATGTAAGTTGCCAACTCGAGAACCAGAAAGGCTAGAAAGCTGAAATTTTAAGCGGATGTTCCTTGTCTATGTACAACCAAAACATGTTCCATGTAGCGGATGTTCCATGTACAACCAAAACATTTTATATTCATTCATCTTAGTGTACCTGAGTGTCACTTATGGGCGTGTGAATATTTTGAAATGGAAATTGCTAACCCAGGCACCAATAAAGCTAGCAGATGGGAATTTAAAGGGACGTTCTCTGCTGGGGTGCGATCAAAAGATTTCAACTCAGCACTTTGGTGGTTCTGGGCTTCACATACAAAAACGTGGAAATTTTGACGCGATATTTACTAACTCTGGAACTAGGGATGTTAGTAAGTTAAAAGTTTGCAGGGAAGTTCTCTGCCCGCGTACAACCAAAAAATTTCAAACTGTTACAGCAATAAAACAAAACTATTATTCATCAAAACAGAAGCCGGATTAACTAGCGACAAAAATGCATGCTCGCAGCGGCAAGTCCAGTGCGTTCCAGCCTGAGTTTTAATTGTTTTTCTCATTTTCGATGCAGCTGTCGCCTGTGAGTCATCATGATAACATATTCAGAAAAGCTTGGGTCTGCTCAATTAATCTTACTATTTATATAGAGCATGATAGAGTAGTTTAGTCATGTTCTTTAGCAAAATTTTTGAGGCAGCAATGTGAATGAATACGCTAGAAGACATTAGATTTATTTAAACTTTGCCACTATCATTCCCTTCAACTTAATTGGAGCGCAATAGCATTGAGGTCAGGTTTCATGGTTTAGGCGGCTCGGGTTTGTTTAGCTCACTACTTTAACTTTATTTTGCTTTATTCTAATTTACGAATAATTCAGACATGCTAAAAACTGATTTAACGCGATCCCCTCTGGTTCGTGCGATAAAATGAAATCAAAAGTTCTGATTTTTTGGCTTATTTTGCATTATTGAGCGAGAAGAATCGTATAAATAGCAGCTTCGCTCAGTCATGATACCCACTGAATTTGAGCATAAAACCAAGAGGAGGAAAAGAGACTGGTGAGGATTTCCCTAGTAACGGCGAGTAAATGGGAAAAAGCTTTTAGCAGCTAGCTCTAAGGAACTGTAGTATATAGGTCTTACTATCCAGATGATTTCCTTCACCCATAGTCCGTTTCAGGGAGTTTTTCGCCTTTGATTTATATAACTGACCTCCTAGAACATTTAATATTCAGTTTCGAGATACACGCGTGGTTATGTGATTGTCAGTAAGATCTACATGTCGTCAATGCGTTCGGACGTGTACGAACTGATGTACTTTTCTCTTGATTGTTTCTTCGCACACAAGCATTGGAATGTCAGATCTACTTATTTTTTAAAGCAGTGAACTCGTTTTGATACGGAGTTTATGTGTCAAAATGCATGGACGTTTAAAGTCTGAGCTAATTTCACTTAAATTAGATTACATTAAATTCAAAATATTTAATCACGGACTTCAGTCGTTCTGTAAAGATGAAATAAAGCTAACAAAGAAATAGTGAGATTTAAAAACTGATTGAGGAAAACCTAAGCCACTTAGACGAAAGTCTAAAATTTCAATTTTTTGGCCCACTCTAACCTGACAGGACATATTTGGAATGAAAGCGAAAAAAATTGCCGTAAAAATACAGTAGCGTCGAAAAAAAAAACATCACGAACGTCTCCCTGCTTTATGTAGGTGACCTAAACCTTCAGATGTTGAGTTCACTGGTTTCAGCAGTATTGCAGAGGATTTGCATCAGAGCATACGTAACTGAACAAGGATTTGTGCTTGTGACTTCTTGCACATACTAACTATGTTCTGAAAGTTTCAGCTTCTGTGGTTCTAATTTTGAAACCCGCAACAGTGCTTTTTTAGTTGCACAAAATCTTCCACGCAAAAAAAGTATGAAGATTTAGCATGCTATAATCTACGGGCATATTTCACCGCCCGAAAATGAAGAATATGTTTTTTCCCAAAAGATACATTGACAGTGGTGTTCTATTTCGGCTAGAAAATTGAAAAATTCAGGAAGCATCATCGGAGCCACTGAGAATAAATTCAGCAAATGAGTACTTGTAGTTCTTCAAAATTTTTAAATTCCCCAATGAGCATTTTATTAAAACCATTGAATAAATATATTTTTATGGAAATGTGAAAGTTTACCAAACAGGACTTTTGAAAAATAATCCAGTGATGCCCGACACGATTCCCAGAAATTGGGATTTGACGTTTTTTGACATTTTTTTGACCTTTTTATTCCTTTTTTTTCTCAAGGCGTTTGCAATTTTATGCGCTTTTGCTCTGTAGTTCTGTAGTGCTGCCTTCCTAGCATTTAATGTCATCTTAATAATCTGATATTATCTCTCACGCACTTTTAGATCTTACGTACGAACGCCGAAAATAACACGCAAATTCTATAGCGGGAAAAAATTTTGAAAATCAGATATGTAGAAAACTGAAATTTCGTGCTGATTTTCTCTTTCCATTTGTAAGTTAAAGATTTCAAATTCTGCTATGGTGCAAGTCTACGTAACGAGTAGTCACGTTAAAGTTCGCAATTGGCACTCACCTGCCCAAAAACTGAGGGGAAAACAGTAGTTGAAGATTTGTCAAGAGGTTTATCGTTCGCTCTCTGGAAAATCATATGTGTAGGACAACTTCAAAGATATTCATAGCGAAATGGCTGTTTCGCTTACCAAACAAACTGCGAGGCTGCAACTTTGTGAGGACATTCTATATTCGCATATAGTCTAAACTTAGCTTGAAGGCCGAATTTCCTGCAGAAATATATGAGAAGTACTAAATTTTGTAGCAAATTGAAAAAAGTTTGCGTTTATAAAAGTCGATTGCGTATTCCTCTCCTGATATCCTACGCATTAACAAATGTGCATTTTTCGATGAGCGACCGCTCCCCAGGAAAAGAAACTTCTTCTTACTACTTGTCTCATATTCCCCACATTCCTCTTTTTTACTTACATTGACTTTTATACTTCCCTTTATTGTTACAATCTTAACCCCCATTTACTTATCCTACCACACATTTTCACATTTGTAGCTTTTTATTTTATTGATATTTTCCCTGTTTTACCACTTTTTATTTTTCATTTTTTATTATTTGTTACCTTTTATTTATTTTTTTCTCACCAACCATTCTTATTTTGATCTTATTTTTTATTTTCGCTTTAAGTTTTACTATTATTTTATTTTCCAGCGTCATTTATTTTTCAAACCCTATTCTGTTTCCCTTTTAAAATTTGCCTTTCTTGTTCTGCTTTGCTTTGCGTTTCACTCCCGATCTATCATTTTTTAAGATTTTTATTTTTTTTATTCTGTTTATCTATAATTTTTTAAAATCTTTTCTTTTTTATGCGTTTTTTCACATACGTAAATTACAAAAACGCATACTGGGAAGAGGCTGTGTGTGTATGTCTATGTGTTTGCACTTTTTGTCACTCGCTTTCAACTCGAGACCTAGCAAAGCCAGAAAGCCGAAACTTTGGGGCTATGAGCCCATCCATGCGCCACCCTCCCGTTTTAATTTCATCCCCTGCGGGCGCCTGGGTGGCGTTTACGGACGCTTTAAAGAAATATGCAAATTTTTTGGCGGGAAAGCGATCTCGGAACCCAAATGAGTTAAGGGGCTGAAACTTTGTAGGGATATTCCCCGTGCACGAGCTAGCTAAAGATTTCAAATTCAGCCCTCAGGTGTGTGTTGTACTCATGTGAAGGCTTACGAAATTTCTAGGGGGAAAATTGATAACTCGGGTACGAGGGAAGCTAGAAAGCTGAAATTTTGGAAGAATGTTCCCTGTCCAAGCACAAATCAAATATTTCAAACTCAGCCATAATCTATGCGTGGTACTCACTTAAAGCGCATGAAAGTTTCTGTAGGGAAATTACTGACTCCGTAACCAGAACAGCTGGAAGGCTGAAATTTTAAGGGGATGTCCCCGTC